GGGCTCTGTTGCATTACTAATTCTTGATTTCTGATGAGGAACCTCAGAGGTGTCAGTAGATTAATTAATCGATGATATTGGGAAACTGAACCTTTCCTTGGGTCGGATCTACTGACAAGCAGGTTGCTGCCTTTGGTCAACTTTCTTTTAATGGTTGCCTAGGATGCCTATCTTGCTTTTGTATGATGGGTTCTAATTTGAGTGATTCAATCATCTTCATGTCAGCTTTGGCCTTGCTTGTTTTTGCTCGGATGGTGGCATCCAATCTAATAAGTGGGGTGCTTAGCCTTCTGTCGGTGAACCCTCCTAATTTGTTATACTTCGTTTCTTCTAGACTACTAGATTTCATCGGGATTCGTGCTGACACATTTATGATATACACTTATATATACACCAAAAAGTGTATTTCACTTTTTGAAAATTAAAGTAATGATATTTTTAATATGATCTGAGAGATTTTGAAGGTATGAATATAAAAAGTGATGTTTAAGTATTAGATATGTAAATACATAGAAGCTGTGTGGCATTTATGTAAATGCTCCTTTAATAAAATGTGTTGACATCTTTAGTCAAATTTGCACTGATTCAACCCATTCAAATTAGTGGCTCATGAATTTTGCTCGATATGCTAACAAACCTAGCTCAAACAAGTCCTGACTTGACTCGCTAGCGCATGGCCAATTCGTTTATACTCAGAATATATAAAATTTCAAATATTTAGCTTTGTTATTTAAAATATTTAAAAGCTAATATTTTATATTTTATATGAAATGATTCCCTATTAATTATATTACAAATGTCCATTTTAATTGTTATCAAATTATCACACATATTTGAATTGATGTTATTTTTTTCTTTAAAATAAACTTGTCAATTTGTGAGCGGGCTCGAAGTCATAGAATTCAGTTCGAGCTTCAACTGGACTAATTAATTAAATTCAAGCTCAAATTGAGGGCTGCACAAGTTCAAATTGACTCGTTTGCACCCCTAAGAAGTTGGATATTTTTTAATTCAAAAAATATAACAACAAATAATTTGTTTACAATCAAATTTAATAGTACGTATACACAAAAAATATGCCAACACAATCTCAAGACAATCAGGCGGCACAGTAGGAAGGAGACGATCGATCACAAAACCAGTTATTTGGAGTAATTGATGATGAACAAATAATTCAAATCTAAATCAAGTATTGATGGAGTTAATGTGAGGCAATCGACCAATGAACCCCTCGCCAACTGGCATCTACTTATCAGCATTGTTACATTTGAAAATCTTTGTAATTACTAAAAGATCCCTTTAAAAGCTAATGATAAGAGGACTGATATGTAATTTTATAAGATAGTAGTCTATTCCTATAAATAGGGAGTTTATACAAAGAATAAATGTGACCCATTACTATGATTCTTAATTACTCTCTCTCTCTCTCTCTCTCTCTCTCTCTCTCTCCCTTGATTCTTTATGATTAACGTTTTATATTTTGGATGTGTTTCTCGAACACTTTTGATTCAACATTCTTTAAGATGTGACGAGAGTGAAAACATGCTGTCAATAAGAAGAGCAAATACTTCAATAAAAGTATCAGGAAAGAGATACAAAAGACAATTCTAACAACATGCCTAAAATTCAACCTCAGTCATATGTGGTGTAAGGAAAAAAAAAACTCACCAACATTCCCGACCCTCCAACATCGAAGGAAAAGTCGTTTTTTGTCGATTGAAGCCATCCTTCAGCTTCGACTGACGACCCCTCAATGCCTCCTTGGGGAACCACATCCCATGTAGCAACCCGAATAGCCATTCCTTCTCCTCCAACTAGAACGCTCACCTCCGATTAGTGCCTTGTAAGGTGAACATCGAAACGACTTCCAGCCTGCTCTGCAACCCTCTCCTGCAATGAGCCAACGAGGAAACTTGAGACCGGGCTCGCTCCTGGTGCACCTCAATTTGTGGTTTAAACACAACCATCTTCTTGCTTTTTTCTTTTACAGAGACCTCACTAGTAGGCTTCCGGTTAGCGTCTAGTTTGCGAGCCTTCACTCACATGTCACTCAAGACCTTGAGAAGGGTGTCCCTATAAACAGACAGTTCTACTCTGTTACAAATAATAGCAAACTTGAAGAGAAAAATAAATGGGAATTCCAAGAAATAAGAATGAGATAAGGCACAAACTTTTCATATCCCATGACTTATTTTGCAGCGACATGGGCGCATAAGACTAGGAAAGTTTTTTATTACACAATAATGTCATTCAATTACTTTTTGCATATTAAAAAGATTATCTTATTCTTATGTGCTCTAGAAGTTTCGAAGGAGCAAGAGAATAGGATAACTAAACATGTACATAAAAAAAGTCTCTGCACAAATCTCAAGACAATCAGACGGCTCAGAAGGAAGGGAACAATCGATCGCATTACTTGTCATCTGCAATAATTGACGATGAACAGTTACCAAATAACTGATGGATTTAAAGCTGATGAGGGAGATGTAAGATCCCACAAGCATGCCAAAGGACCTCGCCCTTCAGAACGTCGACCGACCTTCTTCAAGCCTGACATCAGATAATTCAAATACAAATGAAATATCAATGGAATTAAGGTAAGGTGATTGGTTGACGAATCCCACGCCAACCAACGTCAATCCGTCGGCATTGTTACACTAATGCCCCTCTGAAAGCTAAGGATAAGGGGTCTAACCTGTAATTTTGTAAGATTCAGGTCGATTTCTATAAATAGATGACATATACCATGAATAAATGTGACGCACTCCTGTGATTCTTAATTACTATTTCTCTCTCTCTTTCTTGATTCCCTCTGTATAACATTATATACATTGAGTATGTTTCCCTGGCATTTTTGGATTCAATAGCATGATATATATTAAAAAAAAATTTGAATTTACTCTTTTTTTTTTTATTAACAGGTACTATAATAAAAATTTAGCTTTAAAAACTTTTGGAAGATTTACAAACATACCACTAAATATATGTATTTAGTTTGTAAAAGTTAAAATAGTAATATTTTTTATTTAATATAAAAATTTTGCTCTGCAAAAATATAGAACATAAAATTTAGATGTTAGATCTTGTTGCGTGCCAGATGATGAAAAGTTGTTAATGGTGTACCAGTTGCCTTGATTTTGGGCGAGACATACTTCGTTGTTCGAAAACATCAAAATTCGTTTATTTATATATGTGTGTGTGTATATACATGTCAAATATATATGATCTGTACTTATCATGAAGTCCGTTTAAAATCTAATTTATGAACAAAATTGTTATCAATGTCTTCAATGTATACTATTTCTTCAATATTTTATGTCTTTATATCTTTTGTCAACTCCTTTTGTTGTTGTATCATGATTTATTATTGTTAGCTGTTCCTCTTTGTTCTTTTGTGCTGTTTATTTAATTTGGAGGTGCAAGTTCTTTTGGTGTTCAGAGATTTTAATAGGATGGATCGTGTATAATATGTCTGTGGAAGTGGATAATGCCCTTGTGGATCTTTGCCCTTCAACCCTTCTAAGTTTGATGTTTATAGCATTTTTTTAGAAGTGTTAGTTGTTGTTTTGTTTATTTTGTTTTAGATTCTGGTTTTGTTCTGTTGTATGGGAGTAGGGCTGTAAATGAGCCGAACACGAGCGAGTTCAGGCTCAGCTCGTGTTCGGCTTGTTTATATTTCGAACTAAAAAAGTATGTTCGTGTTCGGCTTGTTTGCTTATTGAGTCGAACATGAGTCGTTCACGAACAAAGAGTTGTTTTGACAACCCTAGTCACGTAACCACAAGATGTTAGAGATTTGAGCAAGATTTAAGACATCATTTGAATCTAAATTAATAATTTTTATTCTATTTTCTTCATATATATATATAATTGATTAGCATTATTTCGAGTCAAAACGAGCTGAACACGAACAAACAAATATTAGTTTGTGTTGTTCATGTTCGGCTCATTATGAGCTTCTTAACGAGCCGAACACAAGTTATTCGCGAACAACGAGCCGTTTTAACAGCCCTATATAAGAGTTAAGTATTTTATTTTTTCTCTGTCAATAAAGCTTGGTGTGACCCTAATTTTATATCATTAAAAAAAAATAAAAATCAAAATTCACGCAAACTCATCATAAAATTGGAGTATACATATGTAATGAAATAAAAATGCCTCATCTGAAAAATAATGAAAGTTCTTTTAAAATTATGATAATTATAGAGAAAAATAAGAGGAAATTTTCCTCTATAATCATATTTTAAAAAGGATGAAAATTTTTTTTTAAAAAAATATTTGATTTACTCTTTTTTTTTTTACTTTTTTTTCTCTTATTTCTCTAATATATAAATAGACTAAAGTGATGAGAAATGTGGTGGAGTCCACATCCCTACCCAACGAAAAATGATTCCATACGGATCGGTCACTGCAAGCAGCGTGCGTGCGGTGACCGATCCGGACCGTAGATCACCTGATCACGATATAACAGGTGATCTGAAATTTCTAAGAAGAAGAAAGTTGAGAAAGAATAAAGTTATCCTCATCTCTGCCTATCAAGTGATAAAGGATCTCTTTCATGAGGAAATGAGACGAAGCCAACAAGTGACCATAAATCTCACTCTAGATTTTTTTTTTTCTGTAAATAAACTGATTGGGGTTAAATATGTAAATAAATAAAAAATATATGAAATGAAATGAAAATTCACCATCCCTTCAATTATGATTTTGCTGAAGGGCTATAAAATCTTTGTTATTTCGCTTCCGTGCGTCTTACACAACCGTTGACACTTTACCGTAGAACAAAATACAGACGTGGACGGCCAAGATGCTCCATCCCCACCGGTGAGCTCTTCTGTAACGACAGGTGCCCCCGCAAGCACCTGGGTCAATTCACCTCTGCATCCACTTAAAGTTCCCGCAGGTAATTTCACAGCCCCCCGCTCACAAATCTATCCCCCATAAAATTCAATAATTTCATTCTTGGCCCCACCAAACTCTCCCCAAACTCCCCCATAAATCCTCCCCCTTCCCTCCATTCCCAAAAATTTCAGGATCTTCCTCTTCCATTCCTACCCCATCACCTCGCCGCCAACCTTGCCGGAGATGTCAACTTCCTCCGTTCATCTCCCACCTGGCTTCCGCTTCCATCCCACCGACGAAGAGCTCATCTTGCACTATCTTAAAAATCGTGCTTCGTCATCCCCATGCCCTGCTTCCATCATCGCCGAGGTCGATATCTACAAATTTGATCCTTGGGACCTCCCTGGTTAGCCACCATGATCCATAAAAATCCCCTTTTTGTTTTATCCCTTTACACAGTTCACACAAGGTGTTTGATTTTATGCTTTTTTGCAGACAAGGCGGCGTTTGGTGACCGGGAATGGTTTTTCTTCACGCCGCGGGATCGGAAGTACCCAAACGGAATACGGCCGAACCGTGCGGCGAGGTCTGGTTACTGGAAGGCGACGGGAACTGATAAACCTATTTGCTCAGGGAGTGAGAACGTCGGAGTGAAGAAGGCTCTTGTTTTCTATAAAGGAAGGCCTCCTAAGGGCCACAAAACGAATTGGATCATGCATGAGTATAGACTCGCTGATGCAAATAAAAACAATTCATACAAGCCAATCAGACTTAGAGAACATTCCATGAGGGTAAAAATCTGATCTTTTAATCATGTTATCAGTTTTTAAATTTAAATTGTCAGCTTTATCTTTATCTGTTGTTTCACTGTTCTCATCGTCTATTTCTTCTTCTGCTAATTTCAGCTGGATGATTGGGTTCTCTGCCGTATCTACAAGAAAAGCAACCACCTCTCACTAACAGCTACGGATCAGGAACAGGAAGATCCATGCGGCGGCGAAGAATCCTGTTTTCCGGCGATGCAAAGCCAGAACCATGGCATGAAGCTACAGAAAGCTCCATCTTTATCTGAACTTTTTGAAGATTACGCGCCGCTATTGAATCTGTTGGATAACCAACAGGAGCTTCCGAGATTTGATTCCACTTCTCTTCTCAGCCACCCACTTCTATCCCATTCCATGATCAATCAAAGCCGGGAAGGTGGACCCAGCGGCTACTTTCTCCCACAGCTCTCACAGGTGGACTCCCCTGTTTCCCTCACCGGAAAACGCCAAAGAACGGCCGACTGCACCACCGAAGAGAGCGGCGGAGCGTTGCACTCCTTGAAGAGACAGAATGATCTCAACATGTTTCCGAACTTCAACTCCGGCCAGTTTGATGGCTCGCAGTACAGCCTGTTAAGCCAACCATTCTTAAGCCAGCAAGCGCTGATGAATTCTAATATTGGCGGCTTCCAATGAGTTCTTCAGAGGTTGAAGACAAAGAGCTTAAAGAGCTCGCTGGTATAGTGTTCTTCTCTCCTATTTTTGTAAAACTGGTTTCAATTAGAATGTTGCAGAGAGAGAAATGGAAAAAAAAAGAGACCTTTCCATAAAATTCTTTTGATGGAACACTAAAGCTGTAATAGAAATAGTGGAGTGGTAGGTAGTTTGTGTATTCAGGTTGATATTGATGCATGCTTGATATTTATTTAATAAAAGCTTAGATAAATTTTAATTTTGGTCATATTTTGTCTCACTGATAGCCAATATATGCTGTATTTTGCTGTGAAAGTTTGTGAGTGCGGTATAGACATGACTGTTATTGTTGAATTGAGGTTTGTTATAAAGTGAATCTTATAATAATTATTTGGTTATTAGAATTAAATGACGATAAGCTTTGGCTGCAACTTTTGGGATGATTTGGAATGTACTTTCAATCTGTTTTTTCTTAAAAGATTAAATATTGGAATTTGTCCATATGCAATAAAGGCTTTTGAACAGGAGAAAATGTTAGGTTGTGTGGACGAGGTGTAGGTTGCACCGCATCGTTGTGCACACACCGTGACATCATTCACGCCATCGTCAGCCCACACGTTCGATTTTCCGAGCGTATTATTTTCTCTTTAAATAGAGAAACTCATCTTTTTTTTTTCTCTAATTAAGAACGACATAAGGACAACAATATAAAAGGATATGATATGGGGCATTGGATTGAGATAATCATATCAAAAGTATTTTTTAGAATTTGTGATTTGAATTTTATTGAGCTTGTGGCCTAAATCGAAAAGATGAAATTAAAATTATGGGAAAATATAAGTCTTTAGAGCTCATCATTGATTGTTTGTCTTGATGGTACGTGTTGTGACAACAACTTCTATGACATGTATTATTATTATTATTATTATTATTTCCTTGATTATTTATTTTCTTCTTTTGCATCCGTGCACGCTATATTTATGTATGTATTTTATGAAGGAAATGTCTAGAATATATAAATAATGAATTTTATAATAGAAGATAGAAAAGTATTATAGAAAGTCAATGATAGTAACAACATTAAAATTTATTGGCATAACCTTAAGGAGATTATCACTAGTATAAATAGATGTGATGTGTTTGAGTTTACATCAAGAATAAAATAGTGAGAAATAAGATTGCATCTTTCATCAAATAAGAGTTGTTCTTATTTCTCCTTAATGTTCGCTTGACCCTAAAAGCTTTCTATTTTCAGTAGATCTCTCTCTACCTTTTCATTTTCACTGTTCATCACATCAATTTCTTAGCACAACGAACAATAAAATGAAGTGAATTATGTCTACTTGTAATTCTCTTCCCTTTTTTCAACATAGTAAATTATTCTCCTCTGTCTGTGATCTTCTCTTTCTTAGTTTATCACATTAGCTCAGTAGCACAACGACAATGATATGAAGGGATAGGATAAGGGGTGTTGGTTGAGATAATCAAAGAAATTAATATTATTTAATTGAGATTAGTTGTTAATCGAAAAGGATGGTAGAATATTCTGGTGGATCACCTAGTTCACCACTTTACCCCTATGGTCGATGTGGATGAGCATGAACATAAAATCTCCTAAAATATAATAACATATTTGTCAACCAAGTCTTATCTCTTAAAAGCTATTCTTGTATTAGTGTCATGATTGCTTAATGAGAATGTAAAGGAAGACTTTTAGGGACATCAATCTAGTATTCTTTAATACCACTTAATCCTAGTTAGATTTATGCTTTAACCAAAGTTGATTAAAATAGAAACTGTGGTGGCCCACTTTGATGTAGTCCAAATTGACTATTTCCATATACAAGGAACCTAATAGTATATTGATGGCATACCTCTTGATTTTAATATAAATCATTAGAGCTAGCTGTAACCCAATTTCACAAGGTTCAATATATAATTACATTCTTACAAATTAAATTAGACTACATGAAAATGATTTGTTAAGAGAATTCATACCTCATACCCCTAACTTCTTTTTCAAGTTCTTAAGCTTTCTTGGAATTTCTTCCGATGTATTATATTACAAAATGTTTGAAAAAATATATATATAAAATGATGTCAATTAATTATATCATCATTGTTCGAGTGCTTTGACAATTTATATTACAATAATTCATGCAAAATAAATAAAAAAATTATCAAAAATTACTTTCGTTATGAGAATTTCAGAAGTCGAATTTTTAAATCGCTTTCAAGGTAGATTGAATACTCACCTAATCAAGCATATATATTTCAACCAAATTATCTAATTTTCTCACCAAGCTAATTTATGGTTTGATGGAAGTCCCAACAACTTAACTATTTTTTTTTTAATTAAGTGAAATAATTAACTGTTCATGGTGTCATCATTAGAATTTGATTTGCAGTGCAGTGCTATATTATTAGCATATAATAATTATATGATTTGACGTCGTCTTTAAAAATAATTACATTGTTATATTTAGGTCTTATTTTGATGACAATTAGATATGTCAAGTTATCTAATTACCAAAAGAATCAACAACATCAATAAATATCATAATATTATTGAAGTAAAAGTGCTTCATTTACATGCATATAACACAATTCTTATATATTTACATATCCAACACCTAAACATTCTTATTTAAATGCAAACCACTCAAATTACTAACATCACATAACTTCTCATGCATGGGCTTAAGACACCAAGCTATTATGAGTGTAAATATAAAACTTTGGGGGTTAGATATGTAAATACACAAGAATTTTGTGGTATGTATATAAATTTCATCAAAAATATTTATATTTAATTGTATTTCCATTAATGCATGAAGAGTTTTACAGATAATTGAGAATAGTCATCATGGCAGTGTTCTGTCAATTTTCAGTACTGTTCATTGTTACAACGTTTCTTCTAAAAATTTCCCCTAATGCATCCCTCTCACCGAAAGTTTTCATGACTTTTAACTTCCGTTTAATTTAATATAATTTAATCCACTTGTATTACTCCATTAATGCTGAAGTAAACACGTGCATTATGTCTAATACTTTTTCAACTTTGGTTAAGTATGTAGATAACCATGATTGATTTATTAATCTTTTTTTGCTCGACTGAATGGATAATGGAGAATGCAAGATAACTCTTGTGTCTGGTTTGGAGGATGAAAAATGAGAAACTCAACCTATTATATTAATGCTTGCATGAATATTATCCTACCCTAAACTAAGGACTTCTAATGGATTAATACTTAGCTTTTGCTGCACTTTTTATTTATGATAATGATTTACTCTTATGTTCTCTATTTCTCTCAAGAAAATATTATGTGTGTCTGCCGAAAATCTAAAAACCAAAAGAGTTTGTTAGTTTGTATGATGTACGAGTAGGGCTGTCAAAAATGCTCGTTGTTCGCGAACAGCTCGTGTTCGGCACGTTCCTTAAGTAAACGAGCCGAACACGAACAAGTTTTTAAAGCTCGAATTATAAACGAGCTGAACACAAACAACTCTTTGTTCGCAAGTGTTTGGCTCGTTTTAGCTCGAAATTAAAAAAATATATATATAATTATTTATATAATAATATTATATATATATAATTTCAAATCATAACATCTTTTGTGGTAATGTGGTTAATACTTCTTTTATATATATTTGGTCTAGGTTCGAATCTCACACTTTACATTTATTTTTTTCAATTTAATTTTTCCGAGTCAATTTCAAGCCGAACACGAACACAAATATTTAAATCGAACCGAACACGAACACACTGTTCACGAGCCAATTTCAAACACTAGCCGATTTCAAACACGAGTTATTTCGAACGAGCCACACA